TTATGTAATTTGTCCCTCATCACCATGAGTGACTGAACTTCCATTGTATTGGGACGGAATATAAACTATCAAGCTCTTCTATACTGCTATTGATTTTTATATATGAGATCATTTTTTAATGTTAATGATTTGATTTTTCTCTTAATGTTAAGATGGCTTGATTACTTTATATTTGGATATTTAATTTAGATTTAGGTTGGAAAACAATTTCTAAATTTGGTTTGAATCGAATAATCTAATAACTTTGCATGGTAGGGATTGATGATTGAGGAATCAACTGTGGCCATAAAATCTTAAGAAATTCTAAACAAGGGAATTAATTTAGAAGGATATTTAGAAATTCAATAACATTGAGTGATAGGATTAGTATATGAATGATCATGGAAATGTAGAAGAGTGAAATACATAAAGTTCAATATCAATATCTTATTATGATTGTCATAAATCTCTATTATTACTTGCTTCTAAGTATACCCCTATTTTGCATGAAAACCCCTGTCATAAGACTTTCTGTAAATCTTTTGAGAGTTAGCTTAAAAGGAGATCATAAATATATTTGAACATTGTACAAGTCCTAGGATATAAAACTTGTTAAAATACTATATTGATTCAGTAGCTTGTTGAACTAAAAACCTAATTGTGCTTGATAGAGCTATTATCAAGGTGTTCTCAATTTAAAGTGATGACTGATGTGTGCTTGATCTAAAACTATAATTGAGGTGTGCTTGCACTAGTGGAAAATAGGTTTTTTGCATCATTAATTTCTTGTTAAACTAGTAAAAAATTGACTTAAAAAATGCGCATTTTTTAAAATAACTGTAATTTTTTTTACATCAGACCATGTGGGTTATGGTGTAAAAAGTAACATTTACATTGGACTAGGATGTGACAGATTATGCTTTTTACGTCAAACACCCCATGGTCCAACTTAAAAAATGTGTTAAGTCCCTCCCATGTCTTCTTCTTTCTCGCTCACAAGGGTTTAAACATGAACAATGGTGATAACGACCCTAGTGGCGACACCCACTAGATGTCTAGGAACGAAAAAAGTTGAATGATATACCTCATCTATTATTACAGGGTGGATACACATTATTGGATTAACGACTCATGAAGGCAAGAGCAAAGTCAGTAGGACTTGAGTTTGTTGATCTTGGATCTCCACCCTCGCCCGCTATGTGATGTAGAAGGCAATTCACACAAGATCTAATGGACAAATGAGTTTTGAGTCTACACAAATTATTGCTGAAAAAAATTATAAGTTATCATGTCAATTTCACTTTATTCCTACGTAATATAGTGTATGACTTACTTATTATTGATATGTTGCATGATGATTTAGTTTAGTAGACCACTCAAGGCTCATTTGTTCCCTATGATTGAGAATGCATATTGATGACAATCATAGGAATATTGAAGCACCCAGGACATGTGCATGAAATTGGTGGATATTAGGACCTTTGTGATTATTTTGGTGCACCATCACAGAGGACAACTGCTCACTCTTGTCGTTAAGAGACCTTGCACAAACTCGAGATGCAATTTGAAAAAAAAAAACTTAAATCAGATACAATAATCTTTGCAATAAGAGTTCAATGAGAAACTTGAATCTCTTACTCGTTCTCAACATCAAACTCAAACAACACCTCATACAGATGATGTTATTGAGTCAACACTAAAGAAAATTGGGTTGTTATTGCTACTACAAATCTCTTAGGGGAATATACTCATATTGATGTACCAAATCAATGTGAGTTATATGTTGAATATGACCCCTCACGTCTAGTGGCAATTGGTCAAATTTTTTAGGGTGACTTAATCATCCATGATGTCCCTCTACAACCAAACTAAGTGCGAGTAGTGGTTGATGTAGTTCATGATGTTGTTGCTCTAGTGGTTTTGCCCAATATAGAGTTTCCACTAATGGGGCAGGCAAGTGAGATATTCTTAGCTTGACCAAGATGTTTGGTGATATCACTTTCAGCATAAACAAAGGTAATGTTGTGTTTCTTCTCTCCCTTTTGTATTCTTATAAGTATATCAGTGCATAACCAATTTTTATTATTTGTTTAGGATTTTATCCATTATGGTAAGCATATGAGAGGATTTGTTATTGACAAGGAGATGACAGAAGCTGAGAATGATCCCATATTTATGCTTCTGACCATATTATCATGATTAAGAAAGGAACCGGCTCAAATACAATCAGAGACAAGAGTTTTGGATTGATAATTTTGTTGCTCCAATGTATGTTTTCCTACCCAATGCATTAGAGATTGTTTGGAAGAACTGCATGTTAAACATTTCTATCATATAGTTATGGTTCATGTAAGTCAATTCTATTTATATTTTTGACATTACAATAATTATATTTCACTTATAATTTATTGTGTTAGGCACATTGACTAATTGAGTGTGGAGCAAGAAAAATCAGGAGTATATAGATTTATTAAATGTCAATCCATCAAAAAATTTGGGAACACGAAGGTGCAAATCCAAGAATGTATGCAAACAAGGATGAGTGAATCGAGAAAGACATATATACTTGGTTACATATATTGAAGGGTTAGTATTTTAATTTATTTTTTTAATAATGTTAATTTTATAACTAATTTGTAAGATACAATGTAGGTTCCATTTGTTGTTAATTGTAATCATTCTTAACGATTACATCGTTGTGCGATTTTGTTCATTGCACTAAAAACCCAGTCAAGAAATGAAAAGCCTATTACAAGGGTAACTTTATCTTTTTTTCATTATGTTTTAAAAGTGCTAATACATATTGAATAATATTTTTCTTTATTTCAATTATAATTATGTCTGAAAGTAATATTTTAAGCGGAAGAGTCAAAACAAAGAATTTGCACTTCATTTACCTTAAGGTTAGAAAATTATTTAATAGAGGGCATAATTATTGTTTGTATATAAATTTTAAAAATAACATTGTGTTTTGTTTTTCATTTTAGTGTAATAGGCAAACATACTTGTATAAATGTAGCTACTACATAATGTATTGGATGAGAGCCATAATGTTTGTATGGGTATTATTGATTCTTGGATGAAGATAATTTCTTTCAATATTTATTAAGTTTTTTAATTTTGTGAGTATTACATTTTAACGAAAGTCAAATTAATGTTCCAAGTCTTTCAAGATTCATCTCCATTATCGGAAGATGATGACACAAATAAGGAAGCAATGAACAAGGTTTTTTGTTTAAAATATTTAGTACTTAATTTTCTAGATTTTAGTTTGTATTGTATTATGCAATTATCTTCTACAATAGTTGCTACTTAAATTTTGAGTAATTTAGTTGGATAATTATGTAGTTTAGCATTTAAGCTTGTAACTAGTTTAACTTGTAAGTAGTTTAGTTTCTAAGTACATTTTGCTTTTTAAGTAGTTTAAAAGTAATTTACATTTTATTTAGTTGGATAATTTTCCATAAAATTGGTTTGTATGTTGTATTAAAAATTTGTATGCAGATTTTTGTTATAAGCAAAAACAAAACTAATATTAAAAAAAATCGTAAAAATTTACGTGAGACATTATCCAATGTAAATTTATGGTGAACTTAGTATTAGTGGACACAAATTTACGTTCATCGAGGCATAGTTCGATGTAAATTTATGTCATGTAATGTCTCATATGACATAACTTTTGTGTTTTTTTTTTAATTTGTGAAACCCTTTTACATCTGGTTCTTTAAACATCTAATGTAAATTTTCGTTTTCCATATTGATGTTAAACCTTATTATAATGTAAGTCCTAAATAACATTCATAAAAAAACATCTTTTATACTAGTGTTAATATAAAGTTATGATAAAGGAAAATAACCTTAACATATAATGTTGCTTGGAAGAGTCTTGCTGAAAGCAAAGGACATTGAATCGATGAGATTGAAGGTAAAAGAGAACAACAAAATCTTCTAAATCAAATTGTCAAAATAGAAAAACTATTTCTTGAATATTACAAAGATGACTTAATAAAAGTATGTCAAACTCATATTATAAATTATAAATCTTAATATAAATACAATTTACTAGACGATGACTTTAACATCACTTTTTAAATAACTTCATGTATTGAAATGTTTAAGAATGTATTAAAAATGTTGACTACATGCTTGGATGTCAAATTTTAATGGCACAGCGGGATGTTATGCCTATAATACAGTGGATGTCAATTTTTAACAACACATACATTATTATAAATTATTATAAGCTAAATTAATCAATTCGTAAAATCTCACATTTATAAGTGATAACTCTCACTACATGCTAGAAATTTGAGGTATTAGTTACACAAATTGATGTTTTTACGGGTATCACTCAAATTTGAATGAAAAATATTTGAAAATAACATGTTAGTTCATATTTTTTAAGACATTTATAGTGTAAAATATTGATTTTGGTGGTGAAACACTCGAACTATCTACTTGCTTGTGCGCAAACTATAGATTAAGTGCGTAAGTGGAATAGTTGAAAAAGATTATGATAATCCTTGAAACTATTCTCCATGAAAAACCATGGTGAGTCAATGTGGATTTTAATCCTCACCACCAAAACAAAGACAGTGAAAATGAACGAGCTTCAACTGAGATGTTCCGTTGCTGGCTACAAAATCAAAGTCAGAAACACACCCCCTTATGCTGACTAGGATCCATTTTTGCTTTAAATTTGAAGGGAAGTGCGGTGGGGTTGTCTTGTAAGCCAAACAGGGAAGATTATAAAAATACGTGGGAGACAACTAAAAACATTCCAAGGCTACAACAGTTGACATAACGTCTTTTTAGGGAGATTGTGGGCCATCCCTATTCCTTGTATTCCACACTCCTCTCTCACACTTCTCTATATTTATAGGGCCTCTTCTCCCGTTCTCTCATCACCACTTCCTACCCTTCTTTACTAGCCACTGAGTCCCACAAGAGTAGCTAGATAGACCTCAGTTAATTCCTATTTGGTCTAACTAGTTATAACCTTTTGTAGTGATCACTTCTCAATGGCTGATTTAGGCTCAGCCTCTTCCAGGAGAATGTGGTGCTCCGTTCCAGAAAGAATGCAGCTGCATGTGGCCATGCTGGCCTTGCAGTTTGGCTATGCTGGTTTCCATGTGGTCTCAAGAGCTGCACTCAACATGGGTGTTAGCAAGCTTGTTTTCCCAGTCTATCGTAACATCATTGCCTTGCTTCTACTCCTTCCCTTTGCCTACTTCTTGGAAAAGTTAGTATTTTTTTTTTTAATTCATCACCCTTTCAATCTTTTAGAAAAGCTTACCACTACTCTAACAATTTTTTAAGTGCATATACTAAAATTCACTAAATGAGTTGGACCCTACTTCATTCAAAGAATTTCTGTACATTTCTGACTACATGATAGATAGCACACAAAATCACACACATATGAGTATCATATATAACATAATATATATGTTATAAGTCTTTACATTTATTTGAATCAATCTAATTTAACTTTTATTTTTTTTATAAACTTTTCACAAATAATTGATAAAAAGAAACTGATATATATTTATATACGATCAACATATGTCCATATTTATATGAATTTACTGTTCTAAATCAACTATCTGTGTATCTATAGATCGATCAATCTCACCCGGAACTTTTCCTTTGTTTCTTTTCCTGTTGTCCAGGAAGGAGAGACCAGCAATGAGTTTAAACTTTGCCTGCCAGTTCTTTCTTCTGGCACTTGTCGGGTATGTCTAATTTATCAAACCATGAAGGTTAACAAAACATAAACTCAAATGCCTTCTAGTGCACATGTTACAATTAAATTAAATTAAGGCCTTTCTTGTCTTTCATTGTCAAAATAACAAATTTGAATTTAGGACTTTCCTTTGATAATATGTTCAAATGTTGCATTCAACAGGATTACAGCAAACCAAGGTTTCTACTTGCTTGGGTTGGAGAACACATCCCCTACCTTTGCATCAGCAATACAGAACTCTGTCCCAGCCATTACATTTCTCATGGCAGCCATATTCAGGCAAGCCCTTCATTAATAACAAGTGATTATTTTATATATGACTTTGCCAACGTGTATACATACAAATTAAATGCACATATATGAATGATAAATTTTATTTACACAATTTCAGAATAGAGCAAGTGAGATTGAACCGAAAAGATGGGTTGGCAAAGGTGGCGGGAACCGTGTTGTGTGTAATTGGGGCTACTGTGATCACACTTTACAAAGGTCCAACAATATATAGCCCAGCAACCCGTGTGAACAGCACGAGCAGCAACGCAATAACAACACCAGTGTTTGATTTTGGGACACTCTCACTGGGAGATGCAAAGGGGAAGAACTGGACCCTGGGGTGCTTATACTTGATTGGACACTGCTTGTCATGGTCTGCTTGGCTTGTGCTGCAAGCACCAGTTCTGAAGAAGTACCCCGCTCGCCTCTCTGTCACTTCCTACACCTGTTTCTTTGGACTCTTGCAGTTCCTGGTCATTGCTTTGGTCCTTGAAAGAGATGCACAGGCTTGGCTTTTCCACTCTGGTGGAGAAGCTTTCACAATTTTATATGCGGTCAGTAACTTCTACATAAAATATCTTTGTGTACTCTATACTCTATAATCTGTATTTAATTATATTAATTATTCAACCACTAATAAACTCCCCATAATGGCAGTGTAATTCCTCATTTATTTTCTAAAAAGCATAAAACTTACACACAATTCTGATTGTATTTCAAATTAGAGCAAGAGTTTTACTTGTTTTACGGCTAATGTCATGAAAAAGATGGTTTTGAAAATTTAGGACCTTGAACTTACTCAGTGTTTATTCAATGGTTTGGAATAATATCATTTATAAAAATTGCTTTATCAGACTGACATATGAATACATGAAGTGACCAGCGACCAGGGAGGGTCTTTGTCTTGTGAGTCATAGATAAATTAACATGATTCTCCCATTTTTCTACAGGACATGAAACTGATCAAAAGCTGATCGGTTTTCTATCTAGCAAAATTAATTTCTAATTAAAAAATTAATTTGGAAAGTGCTGTCCATTTGCATGGGTTTGAGGCGTGACATGATATATAGTCCAAAAGTGGTTATGAAATCAAGTTCTGTGTGAATAATGGTGGGAAACATTTAGTGATGGTAAGATGAGAAAGAAGAATTAATTAAGTTGTTTATCTATTTTAATTTAATTTTGATAATGGGTTGCAGGGAGTGGTGGCATCAGGAATTGCCTTCGCTGTACAAATATGGTGCATTGACAGAGGTGGCCCTGTGTTTGTTGCTGTGTATCAACCTGTTCAGACTTTTGTTGTCGCCATCATGGCCACCATAGCTTTAGGAGAAGAGTTCTACTTGGGAGGGTTAGTGCCTACTACACTAATTATCCTTCATTTTCTTCATCATGTAATGAGTTAGAACAAGATAGATATGAAAAAGTCTTAAGAAGAAGTTCATGCATGGAAAAAAAAAAAGTTATACTTCTAACACAATACATATAATATCTACCATGACTACATTGATTAACTTAGATGTTTCTGTGTGTGCTTATGCTTCTAAGAATCGAAGTTTTCTTGACTCATATGATGCACAAAATGAATCCTGTGTCAAATTTTGACTAAATAATCACACACTAAATGACCTCATTTTTCAACTTTGACTGCGTATTTTCTGTAATATGGTGAGTCTTAAATGACCTAAAGTTTGATGAAGGGTTCGTATTTTTTGTTGTCTGGAGATTTAGAAATTGACAAAAGCCAGTAAACGACAATTGCCGCTAGAAAAACAGGTTAATTTGTTACCTTTCGGTGAGACCTGAAAAGGGGTTTCAACTAAATGATTCTACATTCCAGAGGGTTAAAAAAGTTTGAAGAATTATATCACAGGACATGTTGAACAGAAGATTGTGTCTCGTGTGCTTCTTTACTTTGTCTACTTTTTGCTCCCTCTTAATAATTTACTTTTTTCTATAATAATAATTTGGTTCTTGGTTGAATGTGTGATGTCATGCAGGATCATTGGGGCAGTGTTGATTGTAGGGGGACTGTACTTTGTTTTGTGGGGTAAAAGTGAAGAGAAGAAATTTGCTAGGGAACAGCTTGCGATTGCATCCACCACTGATCACAGCATCATAAGACCTGCAAGCCACGCCAAAGCATCACTTGCTCAGCCACTTCTTTCTTCATCGACTGAGAATGTTTGAACAAGAAAATTCCAACTTCAAACCACACCATTTTCTGGTGACAAGAAGAAAAACAAAAGGGACAAAATGATTTCAGATATACATCTCTAGTCACTTCTACTACTACCACCTTGTGTCAGCAAGCTTTCTGTGTGTTCAACTTTCAACCAGTTTTCATCTTTTCCTTTTGTTTTCTTTTTTATTTTTGTTGATCAAATGCTTTTTAGAAGGTCATTAGAATGAGAGAATTGTGGGAATGATTGTAAAGGTGGATGCCACTTAAAGTGGGGCCTGGAGCTTGAAATCCCCCATATGCTTTTGAATGTTAATTTATGGTTTGATTTACGAGAACATTTTTTTTTTCATTTGGGTCAGGCAAGATTAAGAAAAATTATCTGTTATATCATCATATGAAATGAAAAATTTCCCAGTGAACTCATGTTTTGTGAGTATGTTAAAGTAAGTGGTGAAGATGTTTTGATAAACCACAAACAATTACCATCAAACAATCATCATTGTGGTCGGATTCAACCAAAACCTCTTTCAAATATCATCAGTAAACAACCAAAGTCATGAAGATTGTCTAACCTATAATAACTCTCAATTACATGGCTTAATTTGCATCCAAATATAGATTATGTCATGGTGATGTATGGTGGACCAGTGAGGTTAATTTGCATTGTCCCCATTATGTCGTTATAAAATCTGACAAACAAAAAAAGACCAAGAGATATAGAGTTGGTAAGATAACGAGGCAACAAACTAACACCTGTCATTGTTAATTCTTCCAAAAACATGGACAAGTCGACAACATTCTAGGTGAAATTTATTAGCATATGCAACTAACAGATCCCGATATGTGTGAATCATGAAGATCCATGATCATATCTTAAGTTAACTTTCTCTTTTATTTCAAGTCTACTTTATCTAGATGATCAATTGATGCTTCTCCTTTTATGATCAAGCCAAAGGTATCTATTCCTCGTGTTTTTAAAACCAAGTTACTGAGCCGAAACATGGATTCAGATTCAATCAGTAAATTGGATTTAATAAAATAATATTTTTATTATAATAAATTTATTAGTAATAATTTTTTTATAAAAAATAAAAATCATTATTATAATTACCATATTTTATCGTAACATACAATAAAAATTATAAATATAAAATATATTAAAAATATAAAATAAATAATTATTAAAATAAAATAAAAATATAATAAAATAACTATTATTTAAAATTAACTTGTAATTAATATGAGATAAAAAATAAAATATATTATATATATTTTTAAAATTATATTAAAAAGTTTTAATTTTAAATATTTATTTATTATTAAAATCAATTCAACTCAAAATCTTAATCGAATTTTTTAATTTTATAATTTTATAATTTTATCTTAATTTAATTAAAATTCGATTATTTTAAAATAAAAGATCAATTTTGAATCTAGTTTCCGTTCAAACGGTTGAATTCATTGGTCCATTTCGGTTTTTATCTTTTGCTTTACTGTATATCAAAATGTGATCTTGACTATTGTTACAAGTGTTTTAAAATATCCCTTTTTCTTTACATTTAAACTATCAAGGTAACAATATTTAGTGGCAACAAGAGCCATCATCTTCTCACTTTAATGATCAATCCCATTACTCCTTACAATAAAGCTTCATTTCACTCTTTTTTTTTTAAAAAAAAATTTAAATTTAACTCGTGATTATAATCTCAATCTTTGAATCAAACTTTGCTTCTATGACCCTTCATCCCTGAGATGTCAACGTTTCACACAATTTGCTTTACGCAAAAAGCAAAACAAAGTAGATTACTTGTCTCTTCAATTCTAAGAGGATTAGATTCTAATTCCTAAAATTAACTTCCTTTAATCCGTTTTTTTTTAATTATAAGATAAAATTATCTTATTATGTATGCATATCTTAATACATATGTATACTCATTTAAATTTCTTTCATGTATAATATAGAATGTGATAATTTTTAATTGTTTTTATATATAGTCGTGCGATGATGCTTTCATGATTGTTTGGAAATATTTTACATATATATATATTAGGTTTAATTATTGATTTGTTGTTTTCATCTGTTCACTTTGATCTATTTTTGACTGCTTTTATTTAATTTTTATTTTATTTTAAAATGAACCAAAATGTTAATTTCCAAGAAATATAATTTTTGACAAAAAATTAATTATAAATATCATTTTTTTCATTATTTATATGTTATTTATGACTAATTTTTAATTTTCATAAATACTAACTTCAAATTAAGCAACTAAACTAATTACTAACCATGTTATGTTGGATATTTAAATAGAAAGGATATAAATAAAATATTTTAAATTTATATTTGTCAAGATTTTATATTAATTATATTTATTATGTTTAATAAAAAAATTATTAAATAAATAGTTAACATTAAATAAATATAAATTATTATTTAAAATTATATTAATAAAAAATATATAAACTATAATATTTTATTATTTTATAAACTTGATAATATCTTTATTATTTTAATTAAAAATCATATTAATTTAAGTATAGGGTACATTAATATGAATCTCCTCAATATTTTTCAACACAAAACTCAACTTAGTAAAATTACAAGTGTTCGCGATCAACATCTGACTTGTTTGATCTCTTTATATTATTTATTTATTGTAATTTTTTTTTACAATAATAAAATTGACTAGATTTATTTTAATTTTATTTTAATAAAAATACAATCCCGAGTTGGTTATCTTAAAGGATTTTACATTACGTCTCATATAATAATAAAGTGGCAATAATCTATCACTTTTCAAAATCATGTAACATATTAGTATAGTTTTACTTATTATCATCTTGAATATATTCCTTCGTTATTTAAATATGAAAATCTCATAAAACGTAGTTCTTTTTATCTCAATGGTTATAAAGTACTTTTATATGATTCCTTTAAACCAAAAATTGACTATTTCTGACGAAATGGAATTTTGTGATTATTAAAATTTATTAGGTACTTTTTAAAAGTTTCTTGCTTATTTATTTAGTGTTTTATATTATTTAAAAAAATACTACAATATAAACTATGAGTCATAATAATCAATTATAACATCATTAAGATACTAAATGATAATTATTTTAAATTAATAAATTAACTCTAAATCTTAACATTATAACAAAAACATCTCTTGCTTGTGTGTTATAAAACCATTCACAACAAGAAAAACGCTGTTAGCGATCGAAAAAATCGGTCGCTAGTGGCTAAAATTTGGTCGTTATTCCGTTAGCGATCGAAATTAGCGACCAAAATGGTTGGTCGCAAAAGGTCAAGTCGCTAATTTGTTAGCGACCGATTTACATTCGGTTGCAAAATAGCGACCGATAAGGTGGTCGCTAAGGTGGTCGCTAAATAATTTGGTTACTTATTCATTAGAGACCAAAATAGCGACCGAAATTAATATAATAAATCGAGTGGTACAGTTTTAAAAAATAGCGACCGATATATTCGGTCGCTAATATATTAATATAATTATTTAAATAATAATTAAAATCGGTCGCTAAATCAGTCGCAAAAATAGCGACAGAAATTAATATAGTAAATCGATCGTTAAATTGGAGACAAAGTTAAAAATAATAGCGACCGATATAATCGGTCGCTAATACATTAATTGAATTATTTAAATAATAATTTAAATCATTCGCTAAATCGGTCGCAAAAATAGTGACGGAATAACTTTGGTCGCTAAATTTAAATTGTATATTATAATATATTTGTAGCGACCAAAAATTCGGTCGCTAATCTAACCAAATCCGAAAATTTTCGTTTAAAATTTTGTATATCCAATTTTGCAAAATTTGTACCTGCTTAATTGATTCAAACATAACACAAATGAAAACTTAAGAACTAAAGTCAAATTATTCAAATCATAATAAGAACAATTCAAAGTCATAATAGAAATAAAATGTTTCTAAACAACTACTCAAGATTCAAAGTCTTAATATCATAAAATTGAAAATTAGTCCTCTCGGTATATTGTCGATATCATGTTGACTTGTAGTAGGATGACTATTCATTTGAATATGTTGTAAAATAAGCTTCATCTCGCTCATCTTGTTGGCGTTGGTTGTTCCTCAACTCCTCGCATCTCTTCTTGAAGTGTCTTCTCCTTATTATGCTTTGCCACCAATTCAAGCATTTAACTTTTCAATAGTCTCACGCATTTGTTCAATTTGATGAAGTACTGGAGTTTGAGTAATAGAAGATTGAGAACCCGATGTAGTAGTGAACTTTTTGCTCAATGTACCAAGTCCATACACATTTCCCTTTTTATTTTCACCTCCAACAACTGAAATGTATATTTCAATATCATCAATAGAGACAATAGGAGACTCTTGTGAAGATGAGCCTTCACACAAGTTATGTTGATGGACTTCTTCTCTGCGCTGCATATATTGTTCCTAAAAATGAAGTGAAATATAATTATTATGAAGAAAACATATATTGAATAATAAACTATAAATTAGATGTTAAACATACAAGCAAGATAACGAGTTTTTTCATCGACCCATTGTCCAGTCTTTAATTTCTTTGTCCTCTCAACAACCTCCCAAACGGTTGGTTCCCGTTGAAACTCCGTAGTCTACACATTAAAATGAGACAAAATTCATTACCTAAAGTGTAATATATTGTATTAAATTACTTATATAAAAATATAATAAACTTACCATCTTCTCAAAGTGAGCTGCAGTAGATATGGAACCCCCACAAGAAGCCGAGGCACCCTTATCAACAGACTCGATTAGCCTTGGCAATGGCACTCTTGTTTTGGAAATCTGGAGAACTCCAATGTAAGTCCAAAGATGCTCGAATAGACTGGCGGTATCCAGATTCCCGTATCCTTACCATTCCTAACTTTGTTCATTGAGTTTTTTAAAATTCGAGAACCTTTCTTATCAAAAACAGATCTTATGGCTTGCTCTTGTTCCACATCCCATATATACTCTTTCTGCATAAATAAAATAC